TATATATATACTGTATTTTTTTAAATATCCTCATGTATTCATTTGTTAGATAATCGTCTTTTTGTTTTTTTTACACTGTCATTTATTCTTCATTGTATTTCCTCATTATTTTACTTTTCTTCATATATTTTTTAACTACACGCCTTGCCTTCCATAAAAGCGATTGCATGTACGCGTTCATTRTAAACCTACTTGAAATAAAGGGCCAGGTCGGTGGCGATGATGCAAACGTCAAACAGGTGCTGCACGTTCTCGAACTGACGCTTCTGAAGGTTGCAGAAAATGTTCAAAGCCTGTGAGAGACAACAGCAACAACAAAAGGTCAGCGTCGGTGTTTTCACGTCGGCCGTTGTTTTTCTGTTTTATTCACGCAGAAGGAACCGAGCCCTCCACCTCTTCTCCCATCAGCGTCTTGCTGTACTCCAAATGGTGCCTCTCCATGATGGAGGAGCCGTGAAGTTTGGCCAGAGGAGACGCACTCCTGCAGACAATAATAAACAAAAACAACATTTTCAAACACAATAAACACAYCCCCTGTCATGATCAGAGTAAGTGTTTTTACTTGCTTTGTCTGGTAGAGGTTGTTGGTTCCTCTGTGGTCGATATCATGGCAGAAAGCTGCAGCCACCATGGCAAAGGCATCTAGATCTGAATAGTACTTCCTCAGCTTTCCTGTCTGTAATTTATAAAAAAAAAAACAGGAAGTGGTAAATTTGTGAATAAAGACAATAAAAACAGACGTGTTAACATTTGAATATAGCAGCTGTGTCCAATCCTGGTCCTCGAGTKTCTGTATGTTGTACTTGTTTCCTTGCTCCAGCACACCTGTTTCAGTGACTGAATCACCTCTTCAAGTTCTGCAAAAGCCTGTCAATCACTCATTTGTTCAAATCAGGTTGGTTGGAGCAGAGAAACCAAAACATGCAGGAAAGCGGCCCCTCGAGGACCAGGATTGGACACCCCCGCTGAAAAAAGCTTTACCTGCAGTAAGCAGAACATGGTGTGGCCTACATTAAAACCATGCCTCCAGTTGTGGTAGGTAATGGAACGGTAACCCTTCCTCACAGTGTACATCCACCTGGTCAGCGTCTGAGAGGGGAAATAACGAGATCATATTCAAAGAAAAACATCAGAGGAAATGTGTTAGGGATGGAAATTGCATCATTTCAGCGCCTGAGGAAACGTTTTCTGCTTTTACAGCTACTACGACTTGTTGTCATGGCACAGGCCGTAACAGTTTCACCAGCAACACCATGAATGTTCTCCATTTAAAGGTGGATTTTGTTTGTTTGTTGAAATAAACATGTTATAAAAAATGTACATTAATTCCTCTGTTGTAAAAGTTCAATTTAAAGCCAGGAAATCAATGCAGAAAATCTTTGCAAAAAATGTTAAACCCTGATAAGATCTGAGGTGAAAGGATCTGCAGAATAATGAGCTCAATTCACACAGTCACATCTCAGAACATGGTAGGTATGTTCGCACCCCCCCTTTACCAAAGGCACCTTTAAGCACCTTGTTAGAGTTACTCTGCTGAAACCAGTGACAGACGGACTGACTCACCTCTGCAGGAACTTTAAACTTTTCGACAACTCCGAGCTCAAAGAATATGCGAATGCCAGCTTTAATGAGGCCGAACTCCGAAACGGGGAAGTCGCTGAAGCCAAACGAGTACAGGTTCTCTCCGTCGACGTTGTCGGCTGGTGGGCAGTTTGATCTCTGAAACAGAAACGAACAGTCCGGATCACACACCAAAAAAAAAAAAAGGCCAACTATGACTCCTTTTTTCTGCCCCCACTTTAAAACACCAGTTATTGCAAGTTCTGGGAGATGTAGGATGAAAAATACATACCAGTAGTTTGTACATCTCCTTCTGGTCACAGTCTTCAGGATCCGCATCAAACTTCTCTTTGGTGTTCTGGTCAGAGAACAGAATGACAGCTACGCTCTACCTCTGAGCACATCTACAGCAAATTCTATTCAAATTTCTTCTTCTTATGTGTTTTGAGGCCAGTGCTTATACTCTAATGTTAGTTGCCTATAGTAGATAGAGAAAACTAATGGTATAAATTACAAATGCATCAAGATAAATGTATTTTTAAGGACAAATGTTGGGACTGACCAGAATGGACTGAAGCTCATCTGTGGTGCACTTTGTCTGGTACATGAGCATCTCTTGAGCGATGTCTTTTCTGTACTCGAGGCGGTTCAGTCGGTCGTAGGTGTCACAGTTCAGCCATGACCACCCAAGGAACTGGGTCAGAGCCTGGAGCAAATAATAAAACAAAACAAGATGAGACTGTGAAATAACAAAGTGACTCGGCGTAAAGTTTTAACAATCATCCAGAACCCTAACCTCAGTGATCTGTTCATCGTATTCATCAAACGGCTTGCCGTCTTTCCGGTTGAAGAAAGTGGCGATGCCCACGATTTCTTCTTTCTTGTTGACGATGGGCAGCGACAGGACGTTCTTGATGACGAACCCCGTTTCGTCCACGGCCTCTTTCTGCACAGCAGACACGAGAGTCACATCGAGACTCCCTCCCTCCCTCSYTCCTCATTAAATGTTTTAATGGAAAGTGTCGGCGTGTGTTCCAGACGTACCTGGAAAGTGAAGTAGTCGTCTGCAGCAACGTTCATCATGTTGCAGATCTGAGGGCGGTCACATAAAAACATTACAATTAAATACCCATGATTTCCTTAAACAGCTGCAAATAAATGAATAGTTAGGGATAGGTCTAGTTTCCTTTTTTAATTCAAGTAGTTTTAACTATGAACTGCATCACTTACAAAACCATTTTCTGCAACATATGTAGGCAGTCCGCTAGCCAAAGCCCAGTGATCTGCAGGTGGACCTCTGAAAGGACACATATGTCAAACATTTATGTAATACAATCATTTTTACATTTAAAATACATATTTATCATAGCTTCATTCTTTTAAGATAACAAGTTAGTACAAGTAACAAACTAATGCAACAAGATACTCGAAGTATGTTTGAAGCCAATGTTTCTTACGGTATGACTTTGATTTCTTCTTTGCCTTCTAAGAGGTAGTCAATGATCTTGTAAAAGACGATTTCCTGCGGGGGAAAAATGAAGTAAAGGTCTGGTAGAAAACAAACTACTCATCTTTAAAGTGATCTTTTGAAGTGGGGCTCTGTGACACTGTTTGAGGAATCATCATCTTACCTGTTGGAGACAACTCTAAAAACTACTTTATTTTGGAGAATTATCGTATAGATTCATTCTGATGGCTAATGAAGGTAATTRTTCAGAATTTCCCCACAGAACTCTTCTTCAAAAGATCCCAGCTATCACTTTAAGGAAAGCTACTTAGACATGGTTTTAGGAAATAAACACATTTAATAAACAAATTCAAAGGGCACCTTTATTAAAGAGAAAAATCATGTCTCACCCTGCCGTCTGGTGTTTTTGGTCCTTTATAGGGCTCCACGTCTCCAAGTTTCACAGGCCATTCATCATAAAATTCCTGAAGGAGAAATCGCACAATAAATATTGTTTTTAATGGCATCTAAATCAGCGTTTAACAAAAAGCCACCTTCTCTTTGGTCAAGTCCAGCAGACCCACGGAGTATCGTTCACACATCAGGTAGGTCCTCACAGTGTAGAGCGCTTTGTGGAACTGTCTCTCGATGTCTGTCAGCTCCTCAAACACCTTGCTGGCTGACCAGAGCAGCACCTGGAGCCACACAAGGCAGTAAGGTTCCCAGCACAACATGAGTCTTGATTCTGAGTGGAAGAACTGGTGAAAATACTTTTCTTTGTAATTAATTGAATTCATCCACTTTACCTGACTCCTCCTGGACTCCACGTTGAACATGTAGGCTGTGTGATGCTGCAGGGTGATGACTTGGGCAAAAGTCATGTACTTGTGAAAAAGCTGTTGGGGAAAAAAAATAAAATCAGTTTCTTACAGAACTGGAGCATAGACAGATTGGAACAATTCACAATACAGTAAAAGAAAATGTAAAATCGTTTCCCCAAGCAAAGATTTGAACTGTTTAGGGAAGAAAAAATGCAAAGTCTGTTGCATATATTTACTTTATTTAAAGCATAGATTGCTTTTGTTTACATAATCTTGGCAGAGTAAAAACCGTTCTAAATACTTAGAATGCATAGTTTTAAGATTTAACATTGTCTCCTGAACAAAACACCACCATAATAAGCAAACATTGCCAGCGACAGCAGCCCTCTGCTGACACGTGTGTTCAGTAAGAATCAGGCGGTAAAGACAACATCTCCATCTGACCCAGTTTATTCTTGATGGAATTGGGCCTCAGGGGGATTTTTATGGCTCCAGAGGCAGCAATGAATGTGTTCTGATAGAGACCGCTGAGAGAACCCATTTCGATTTACTTTTTTTCTCAGGTTGAATGCTGAGGAAACAACCAAAACCACCAAAGCAGTTGAGTCTGATTGGCTTCTCCTGCTGTAATGAGGGGGCTTTGTGCTCCGCTGGTGGGATGTAATCACAGAAATAATCTCTTTTCAGCTGAACTTTCAGGAGAAGTTTTAAACACCGATTGTCGGATCCTTTGGCGTTAGCACCTCCGTCTGCTCAACAAATGGATAAAGGTAGATGCACTGCTCTCGTTAAGGTCTGTTCCTACCTTCTCATCCTCTGGAGTGAATGCATCAGCTCCTATTTTGTTAAGTGTCATGACCACCCCGATACAATCCTTTTCAACCATAATGGGGAAACTCATCACACACTTGGTTTTGTATCCCGTCTGTTTGTCCACAAAGTCACAATACTTTGGATTCTGGATAGAAGAAAAAAAAAAGAAAATAAGACACTTGTATTAATTAAATCTAAAAGCTGAGTAAAATAAATCCTAAGCAAAGAACAGTTACTCTTAAATATTACGTTTTATGCAGCTAAATGATGTTTTCTTGAACAAATTTTATCTTATATGTTAAGACATAAAGAGACTTGGCGCCAATTAGTAGTTTTAGAATTGTGTTAATTAAACAAGATGGCAACGTAAAGGATTCTTAACTTTAGCTAAGCTAAATTTAGCTCTGAATTTAGCTCAAGATAAAACCTAAAAATTTTAGCAAATAAGAATATTGTGCACTGGTATATCTCATTTATTTGTACCTTTTATTTGTAAATACATTTTAAGTAATAATCGCAAAATACCAGCTATGTTTAAAGCTTTCAAAATAACTTAACTGACTTCCAACGCAAATTCCCTGGAATCTCATTATGTAAGCTAGGCTATAAATAAAAATAGTTAGGCCCAAAATAAATACATCTTTTGTCAGGTTCACAGTGAACAGAAAGAAACTTGGCTTTGTTTTTACAGAAATGGAAACTTGCTTAAACTTTTAAAAACAAAATGCACACGAGACGCTAATTTAAGTGTTTGCTATTAGACCTTTTTTTTTTGCTTTTCCCGCCAAGAAAATCCCACCAAAAATCAAAAAATAAATTTTTTTGCCAAAGCTTGGTAAAGCTTCCAACTCTCTCACCTTTGTCACGTCTGCAACACTTTGCGGTTTTTTGGAGGTTGCTGTGAAACCAACTATACCCATATCAGTGGGGAAAACAATTTCACTCTGGGGGTTCACTAAATTGGCTTCATATTTGGATGTCGGTGTCACGTCGAAGAGGCAAGAGGCGAGCTCGGGGGTTCCGTTTCTCGAGCGGCACATGAAAAAGCTGACCCTGTCGGCCTGCACGATCAGTGCAATCCTCTGCAACACTTTGTGAATGCCTTTCTCCATGTTCCCCTGCTTCTGCAGCTCCTGGACCAACTCGAAAACGATGGCCGCCTCTTGCACCGAGTTAACATCCTTGAACGATGCAGTGTCTTTGATATCGAGCTGTCCAGAGAAGGCGGCGGTAAGAGCCTCGGCGCGCAATTTTTTGTCAAAGTACTCTTTGGCGAACTGTGGGTTGTTCTCCAAATACTTCTCCACACTATCCTTGTCTGCCATTTTGACCGAAATCAGTGTCCTCTTGCTGGTTTTCTTCTTTCTACCAATGCATCACCTGCAGGGAAATTAAAAGCAAACAAAAAAATGTAGGCAGTGTTCTCGCCGTCAGGGTTGCAACGAATCAATTAGCGTCCCTTCGAAAGAACGTGCATCTTCCTTGGTGGACACAGCCCATGTCCACCAACAGACAGAACAGGACAGAATGCAGCTTAGAGGCTGAAAGGATCAACGTGGCCACTAATTAACGTGACGTCAGGGCAGTAAAAACCCCGCTTTAAGCATCCTTAACCTGCAAATCCCAACGCTGATCATTTCACATGGAGCAATCCTGCCTAGCTAAGGGAGAGTGAGATGTTGGCAAGTCAGATGCTTAGCTGGACACCTGAGCCACATCCAGGCAGGATGTAATCAACACCGCATAATACGACGAGGTAAATAAGTGGAGAAAGCGCCGAAGAAAACAAACATCAACAACGCTTTGTCGGTTTACTTTATAATTCAAGTCTATCTTCAGACATAGACCAGACTTGTCCCACCTATAGAGCTTCTTCCTAAGGGAGCTTAAGTACCTTGTTATAGCATGGGAGGATTATATGCCCACAGACTTTTAACAGGCCCCACATCATCTTGCATACTTAAGAAGTAAGACAGTTATATTAAGACAGACAGCACTGCTGCAAGTAGTAGGGTTCTATGTTTTTTAAGAAAGTCCATTTTAAGATTTTACGTGCTCCATGTTCACTTTTTGTGTTCGAGTTTGAGCTTTTTTGCAGAGTTTGATTCTTTGTGGTACTATTTTAAGCTTTTTCACAAAATGTTTTTGCAGTACGTCTCTGCCAACACACCCTTTAAGCACAATGCCATCTTTTTTCCTTACACGTTCAATTCAATTSAAAAATACTTTATTGATTCCAAAAGGAAATCACAGATACATACCAACCGTTTCAGCCCTGTGACTACCTCGCTCAGCAATTCAAAGGTGTAATGGCAGTAGACTGACTTCCGAKCTCAAATCCCAACAGGGAGGTGTTTCAGACTGATACGAGTTTGTTTTGTGAAAGAACCCTTTGACTCAGAGATTTTTTTTGTAAAAGAAATTAAGTGTAAATGAGACATCTGTTTCTCCGTTAAACCTGAAACTAAAAGGTTATTTACAGAAATTAAATGGTGAATAAAAAAAAACGAAAATGTTCTTTTGTTACTTTTTGACCATAACCACCCGTTGGTATAGGCATATTTTTCCCCCAGAAGAAAATTAAAAAATAGTAGCTACTGTTAAGTTCAATTTTTTTTGTTGTTGCTGTTTTTAACATTATTTCTTTGCTCAGCTATTCAAAAATCATTTTAGGGTGTTTTGAAATGTTCTAGAGTTTTGTTTCTGCTGCAAATAAGACCCACTTTAAGTCATTTTCCACTGTTCAGTGTCCCTGACAGGAAAGACTTGGGAAAAAGACAATTAATAAAACCCACCGGCTCAGAGGATCCAGGTCCTTCCCTAATAATTTTTAGTGTTGTAAAAAGCACCTGAATGCTGTTTCATCCAGAACATTGTTTCCAGCTCAGGTGTTCTGCCACGGCTGATGCTATTGTGTATTATTAGCACAGCACTTCAGACCCATTTTTAAAGCAATTTCCACAAATTTTAAGCTTTTCACATGTGCTTTTATGGCCTTAGAAATCAGGGGGAAATAGTCACAGAAGGGTGTAATTTCTCAACAGTTAAATGCTCCATAACGACACCTCCCAAAACAACAACAAATAAGCATAGTAATAACATGCAACATCACTTACTATGTTATTACAGGTCCATTTCATGAGACCATTTATAGCCAGTGAGTGGACTCACAGCACCCTCACCCTCTCTTGTTTAAACAATTTAAGCAATCAAGAGACAGGAGCTTTTCCAGCCTCAAATAGCCTCCCCGGGAGCCAAGCCTGCATTAGTTCCTGTAAATGTACTGTCCTTATTTTTGCTACAGTGAAGTAAGTACCTAAATAGTGTCCTGTCGGCAGCAATGATCACGTGCAGCGCCATGATAGCAGCCCATATAATGTTCTCAATGGGAACGTAGTCTACTTGTGCTCTAATGAAATCATCATGAAGGTATCAGTACGTGGATTGTAAACCAGCCAATTTGCAGGGATGTGGATGTCTGAGAGGAAGGCCTTAAACGAAGATGGCTGGCCACTATTACCGTATAATGGAGTTAGCTTCTAAGAAGTTCTTTCAGGAAGGGCGAATATATGTGTACAAGTTACAGGTGCACTTTAGAAAGAGAAAATCTGGTGAGAGGTTGGATTTCAAGAGAGGACAAAACATAGACAGGTCAGCCGGTAGAATGATGTATTTTAACACGTTTGAGTTTTGAAAAGATTCATGTAAAATCATTTGTCTGAGTCATACTTTTCTTTTTTTGAAAAAAAAAATCTTTAAAATGAGTGGGGTTCTGTGGAACCGCTATAAACAAACAATATCTTACTTGCTATAGATAGCTCTTCAAATGACCTCAGTTTGAAAATTTAGTTAAATTCTTACCATACTGATGAGTTAATGCCTAGTCAAACACTGTTTTAGTAGCTTTTACACTTTTGTTAATTTAGCATTGTGCAATTTTATTTTCCAGAAATAGAAGGTCCTACAGCTAGCTGCTGCTGCCATTGCAAAAACACAAAATTATATTTATCTTACACTGAAATGCAAAACTGAACTGTGTGTAAGCATTTACAAAGTGGGATTTTTGTGAACCAATAGTATTTTTATTATTATTATTTTAATTTATGTTGTTTAAGGATGACAGCAGCTAAGTTTAGTCTTTGGCTCTATGCCGACTAGTTGACGCATCAGTCAAGTCGAATTCAAACTATGTTTTTCAAATTGAGGTTGTTTGAAAGACTATCTACAACAGATGATAGATTATTTATTCACAATCTTCACAAAATATAAATCTCTATCTAAAGATGGTGTCATGTACTTATGTAATCATTACTGAAGGGGAAAGGTCATTTTTCTTTAGAATAATTTAAATTTTTCAAAAGATCCAAATTTTTAAAAACTTCTAGTAAAATAATCTATGTGCTTCTGTCATACGGTGYCATTTCTATTTGCAAAGCCTAAAACTTCTTTTGGAAACTATGTTTTTAACCATAAGATGTTTTAATCAACCTTAAGCGTCTGTGAGGGTTTGTGTTACATGAGCTTGACACGCTATCCGCAGTTTATTGGCAGTTTATTTGCTGCCAATAAACTGCTCAAAATATTAAATGCATACACAAAACCTGGCAGCAAAACATTATTTATCGTTTCATTGCCAGTTTTGAAGATTAAGAAACGTTGAGTCGCCTCTGGCCAAAATCCAACTGCTAATGTTTATGTTTAAGAGTGATAGTGCTGTTTTTCTTCTTTTTTTTCTGGCCAGGTCTGTGGTTATGTAAGCTGCAGATGTTTGACTCTGCTGTGGCTCCTTTAGGTCTCAGACGTGCCTGTTTTTTTTTTAATACCAGCATCAATTTCTAACAAATGGGCCTCGAAACATTTAAGTATGATGGAAAGCAGATCTGAACTGGAGATATGAAAACATTTTTCTCTTGCAATCACCGTTACATTTGTTAATTTTAAAGGGATACTCTGGTCATTTTTGAGTGGATAGTCTTTCAAATCGTTATTATTTCAGTTTCTTATCAACCACAGTCCTTTCCAGCTGCAGTCTGAGCAGGAGATGTTCCCCTCTCTGCAATTTGAAAGCAAATGAATTGAGCATATGCAAAGACACCTCTGGTTGTACCTGTTCAGTCTGTACATGCCACATTTTCTTTGTCTAAAGCAGGGGTGAGCAATCCTGGTCCTCGAGAGCCGCAGCCCAGCATGTTTTACTTTTTTCTCTGCTCAAACACACCTGATTTGAATGAATGGGTGATTATTAGGCTTCTGTAGTACGGAGGACCGAAACTGACATAATTAAAAATAAAAGCAGATATATATAAATTGACTAATAAATAAATACACTTAAAGTGCACCAATAAAA